AAAAGGAAGGATTTTGAAGAAGAAACCTTTGAAGCGTGCTTTTATATATTCAAATAATAGGAGGCTTTTTGGCACTCCTTCCCACTACACGCTTGCTCGCTCCTTCCCTAAAAATTAATTTTTACTATGGAAATCAGAAAGATTTCCCTTCGACTAGTTTGAATCCTCAAGCAAAATGCTCAGAACTCAAGAACTTCGTCGGATCGGCTCTCGGAGAGACTTCTAGGGCAGAACACTGCTCTGACCGAAAATTTTTTGGTCGCTATATAACTTTGCGACTAGGGTTTTTGCGACTACTTAAATTCGGTCGCTAATTCGCTCGTTAAGGCAAATAACGACCGATTTTAGCAATTTAGCGACCAATTTTGGTGGTCGCTAAATGCAATTTTTTTTGTAGTGAACTTGGGGAAAGGTGCTAACCATGTTTCTAATATGATAAACTAACCTATAAAAATTTCAGATGGCAGGAAGAAGAAATACAGAACTGACTGAGGTTGTGCAAGCTTAAACATTATTCTTATTTCAATCTTAAACATGACATCCAAATTGTTTTAGTTAGACATTATTTTGCATAACATGTAGTACAATATTTCTCAAAATATTCTGGAATTTGTTGTTCTAGTCAGCCCTTGCCTAGTAGTCTCAAGGTGAATGCTTGCAAGGAGAGAATCATTTCTTTAAGGTTCTCTTTGGTCTCTGAATCAACCAAGTCACCACTATTGGTGTTGAATTTTCCCGGTGGCCTGTGAGCATTGAGGTAGAACTCTGGTTTGTTGATGAAATGAAGATCAAGATAGACCCCAATTTGACGCAGATGAAACTGTGCTCTTCTCCCACCCCCAACAGCACTCACTGCTGCTGCACCTTTCCCTGCCCACACATTTGGTGGTCTTGATCCCCAGTCTAATGCATTCTTCAGTAGTGCTTATATATTAGAACATGATTGGATTCAAGTCAGAACTTATAAATATAAAGTATTGTTTAGAATATTTTTACTAGAAGCTTTTACCTTTTAGTTAAACATCATTCGTAAGAGGTATATATTATTTGTTAGAAAACTTATCATCAAGTCATGAAAAATTGAGAGTTAGGGGACACAACTAAAGTGGTACATTTTTAATGGTGAAAACGATTTTTTTTATTTTATTTTAAAAGCACTAAAATATTTTCCAAACTAAAAGAGTATTGTGTATTTCAATACCAACTTACATTTAGCATAAAAATAACATTAAAGCATGCATGTGAATGTGCGCAGGCTGAGTGGCTGACACACAAGAAATGAATAATGAATGATTTTAGTTTGTATGATTAAAATAAATAATGAAAAAATATAATTAAAAAATATCGATTATTAAATATTTATGTATAATTTTACATATTACTTATTTTACTCCTCAAACTTTTATTAAATATGTGATGTATGTATACGTATACTTTGGGAATATTTTGAAATTGGATCAATCATTGATCACTAATTAAAGTATTGGGTTAACGGAAGATTGAAATAGTGAATCACTAATTAAATCATTAAGTCTTTATTAATTTTTTTAAAAAAATATTTATATCATCTATATTTTATAGATATAATTATTAATAAAATTCATATTATGTCTTAAAAAAATTATAATTAATATAATACTAATAGAACAATCAAATTATAGATTAATAAAATCACATCAATTAATATATAATTAAAATTATATTATATAAATTATTCAAGTCAATTTATAACAATTGAATAAGTTGATTTAGTAGTTGCAAATGTTATAATTACATTCACTTGAGTTTAACTCTTATTTTATCTAAAAATGTTTTTATTTTTATTTTGTACAAAAAAAATACAGGAGAAAACAACATATGAACTGGTTATATATTAGATGCATTAAATTTATATATAAGGTAATTATATAAATATATATGCTGCATATTATGTTAATTAAATGAGTATTTGGCCAAGTGGTTCATAGACACTTTGCATAGAAGAGGACTTGAGATCAAGTCCACCACTTATAGATTGTAAATTTGAAAATCAATTGTATTGTAGCAACCAAAATTTTTCAATACTTCACCTTTTCATATTTCAAATGCAGCACCGTGTCAAAAGTTATGACCCACGTTTACCGGTTCACCGGAGACTTGACCGGATCATACCGGTTTATAGAGAGTCAATAACATTGCTGATCCATCATAACCCATAAGGCCCAAACTCACTATATAGCTGATTTTCGAAACTATGATTTTGAAATACAACATATATCACATTTTATTCCGATCTTCTCTATTTATTTTATTTTATATGAGCTATAATATTCTTACAGAAAATATTAATAATTATTTACATTTTTTTTATATATTTCTACTGTATCACTTATCTTAAATGTAAAACTAATTCGCAGTTATACCCTATCATTTTATTTTATTTTATTTTATTTTTCCTGAAAACTATACAGGCAGTTAAATATAATTTGTACCATGCCAATTATGAAAAAAGGAGTGAAATTAATGAAAGCACGACTTACGAGTGATGGAGTAGTTGTAATCAGGCGAAGCAAAGAGACAGGAATCAGCTTCCAGAACCTTCCGACGAAACTCTTCAACTTCCGGTGGATACGTGCCATCCACCTCAAGATCCGTGTTCAGCATGGGCAACGCCGATATCTCGATGTACTCCACGTGGACGCCCTCGATTTCCTCCTTCGTCAGCTCTATCGCTGCATCCCACCGCACCCAATCAGTACTCATATTGAATAAATAATGATTAGTTTGTGAACACATACCCGCACGGATGAGGCCTCTGTTGTAGGAAGCTTTACGCAAAGAGCCGCAAATAGCCGCCACTTTAATCAGCGGTTTCTCTGCGACACTTTCTTCTTCCATCTCACTTTCCTCTTCTCTGTTTCTCTTATTTGTGCCACACACATCCATCGGGTAACGCTGCAATAGTTTGAATATTTTTGAAGTTAGTAATTTGCCATGTACCACACTATTGTTATTAATTATGTATAGTTGTTGAATACTATTTGCTTACCTTAACTTTGAGGTAGGCATATGTCAGTGTCACCCTAGACCGATTATTCGTGTGGATCGTATACAAGTTGTTTCACGTGCTGGCGGCGTAATCAAGTCAACAGCGGTGAAATTTTTATACAAATGCCATAGAGATAAAGTTTTGGAATGTGTTGTTGTGTGATTAATAAGAAAATTCTAACACAATTTGGAATTTGGAATTTTTGATCAAGCAATTTGAAGAGAGCACATGTTTTCAAGCTGTTCACTGAGAGCGTTTGATGCATGGATCGGTGAAATTTGTTAAAAACAGTAATAAAAGATTAAAAAAAATGATAAAAGCTTTAAAGGAAAGCAATAAATTTTAAATTTAAGTTGCTCAAAAAATTAACTTGAAAGATGTGTTAGCTATCCTATGTGGTTGGACTAATTTATATACTAATTAACTTATGAGGTTGAACTTGCTAACCTATGAGGTTGGGCTCTCCGATTTATAAAAATCAAACTGCTAATTTATGTGAGAGGTTGGTCAATCATAAGAACAAAATGGTCGATATGAAGTGTACCGCCCACATTGACACCAGGGCTCACTTCGGTGCTAATGAGATCAGACCACGTCAACTTATCAAGATAGACCTACTTTCCACCTGATAAGATAAATTGATAAGATTGAGATCTTATCAAATCGTAACCAAACTCGTCATTACCAAGAGAAAAACTCTAATTCATATTAAGGTACGTGCATTATATATATGAGACCTGCTCACCAACAAAAACTAACTTAAGCATTGGAGTCTCTTTTGTAGGTACCAACCTCATCCTGGAGCACTCGAAGTATCCTTCTGCTCACCGATCTTACCTAGAGGTTCTATCACCCCGATCTCAAGTAAGAATAGTTTGGCGCCCACCGTGGAGCCGAAGACAAAATTCCCTTCGACCACAACAATGGTTTCTACTCGTAGCAACAACAGACCGTCCACCAACACTCCGAACAACGGGCCCAACATGGATGAAGCCACCGCTGCTGGGACCCTAGCCGAGCAGATCCTGCGACAGCAAAACGTCGTCGCCATAGCCACCATGCGCGCGCAATATGAAGTTGACATCGCGGCTTTGCGAGCCGAGAACGAGCGAATCCGAGCGTAGATTCCACAACGACCACCATCACTAGATGACCCCCCCGAGGATTAACAAAGTATAAAATAAAATCTCCTTCATTTTACTCACATAAAAACTATTTTTTGCTAAAAGAAAAACCTCTTTCAAAAACATATTTGTCACCATTAAAATGAGAGAGATTTTTAAGTCAAATGGAAATCTTGGATCCTTCAAGCTTTCATGTTTTAATAATAACAAACAAATTTTTTTTTCTAAGAGAATTGTTTTTTATAAGAAATGCCTTGAGATGAAGTGTAAGACGCCACCTATAGTAACACGTTTAACCAAACGAAACATACTTATGTTAGACTAACATTTATTTTATATCATTTATGATATCTAATAATGAACATGTGTCTAAATGATTCCTTAACAGATCAAACATTAAAAGTTTCCTTGGAAGTCACAACCTATTAAAAAAGAAAAAAGACATGTTATGCGTCAGAATTAGGACAAACGAATCCTTGTAATCACGAAAAGGGTCAGCTAAAGTTGTTTTAGAACTGCACAATGCTGACACACATTTTGTTTCATCCATTTGGTACTTAAAAGATAATAAGTAGGCTCCTTGATCAGATTCTTGGTGAAATGAATTTAATGGATCAACGAATATTTCTCTCCTCAAGGAACTAGAGATGAAGACGGACGAAGCAAGCTTGTGAGGAATGCTAAAGTTTTGCAATGATCATCTTCATCAAGGCTACTATATAAGACGCTTGATGCTAACGAAAAAAAAGAGAGAGAAGGGTTTGTACACACTACAAAAAAGTAAGTAGTTAGTAGGGGTTTTTTTTCTGGCAGTTTCAAAAAATCGCCACAAAATATTATAATTCTGGCAGTTATTTTAACCGCTACAAAAGGTCATGCTTTCGGCGGGTTAAAACCGCCACAATGTTTCGTGGCCAACTTAATTAAAATATTTTTTATTTTTTTAAAAAAGAATAAAAATCATAAACTTATTTTTAGGCACGCATGCTTCACTTTCTCTCTAACTTCTTTCAAAATTCTTCTCTCGTTCAATCCCCTTCCACTTCTCCCTTTTAGGGTTTCAATTTATTCAATAGCGCTCGGTCCTAATCGCTCCGATACAAGCGCCACCAAAGACGACGCTGTTGCAAAGAAGAAGGTTGAGAACGAAGATATGGTGAATTCAAAAGCCTCTCTTCAAATTTTCTCTCATTCTAGACCGCAAATTTCTACTCTACTTTCTCTTGCAACAAAATGAAAATCGATTATGGTAATTTGTGCAGTCCGATGAGGATTTGGCACTTAAGCAGCAACACAGTTGTGCGTGGAGAGGGTTCAGGATCCCGACTAGGGATTGCAGAAGGTTGCGATTAGGTAAACCTAGTTGTATGCTCAAATGGAACAAATTTTGATTTGAATGAGGATTTTAGCTTTCTTTTATATTTAATTTTATGTGTTTGAAATTGGGATGTGTTGTTGTGTTATGTTGATAAGAGATTCGAACTTATGACTTCAGTTCCTAAGCCGTTGAAATTTCTTTGCCTTCATTATGGCACTCTTAAGGCATATTACGAAACTATGAGAGAGTCTAATTTGAAGGTATTGTTATTTGTGTGCTATGGTGTTGCTATTTGGTATGAAGATATTGTCTAAATGTTTGTTAGGAAAGTTAAGATTCGTTATAATTATGATAAGATCTAAATTATCTAATGCTGAACAAAATTAAATTTCAGTTTTTTTTCCCATATTTTTCTCCTGTTTTATCTGAACTGTTGTAGATTGGTTGACATTTCTTAACCAAACTCGTACCTTTTTATATTCTAGCATTGTATGACTCCATATGAATAAGAGAAAAAAATATCATCTCTTCCCCAAAAATTCCAATTGGTATACGAAAATTTAAGTGAATTAAAAACCTGTTATTGCTTTCAAGTCTGAATTCAAACCAATTATGGTCCTCTGAAGTCTTTGGCATTTATTTGGCTTGTATTGGAGGTGATACTTTGTCTATTTTATCATTTTTTTTGCTGGCATATACTTTTCTTGTAAAATTTTATCATTTTTTATGGGGATAAAAATCTTCTGGTATTTTTTCAATTTCATTGGACTGCAGGTGCCATTGGGGGCATTGTTGCTTCACTGATTCGTGTTCCAACAGAGGTAAATAAATTCTCTTATTTCTAAGGATGACATTTCCATGGTTGAAAACTATTTCACTGGACTGGAGAACTTCATAGTTTTACATGTTCTTAGGTTATCAAGCAACGAATGCAAACTGGGCAGTTATCTTCTACTTCTGGGGCTGTTCGCTTTATTGCTTCTAAGGAAGGCTTTAAAGGATTTTATGCTATATGAAGTTCACCATCTCCCCTTTTTAATGCTTTTTTGATAAATTATGTTCCTCTCATGTCTGCAATGATAAGTTAAAATGTTTCTTTGATATTGATCTTTGAAATTACAGGGGTATGGATCTTTTTTGTTGCGGGATTTGCCCTTTGATGCTATTCAGTTTTGCATCTACAAGCAGATTTGAATAAGTTATATATGCTTGCGGTAAATTCCTCAAGTTGTTTCACTATTAAAATTTTGACCCTCCTCTTATATAATGAGTATAAATTATACTAGAAAGAAAGGAACTTTTACAATTCAGTGTGTTTAATTATTAGTTGAGAAATATCCATTTCCGAGATCTTTATGTCTCGAGGAATTAGTCTTTAATTATCAATTGAGAAATATCCTTGGTGCAAACAAAAAAATAAACTTAATATTGTTTATTTGGTAATAAGCTACTTATTTTATTTGAAGTATTTGGCTATTTGCATGATTGAGTAGACAAAACATGCACCTCCAAAATTTCAGACATGGGCACCTGTAACCTAACATATGCTAACCCAAAACCATTTGTTGCTTGTATTTTTTTCCATTCCCATTTATAATTTTTTGAAGGGGAGGAGAAATGGTTAATAATGATTCTTGGAGGTTAAATTGCTGTATTTTAGTTTTCTTTATGTTTGATTTGTTAAGCATTATTGCAAGTCCAACTAAGCCTTTTGTTGAGATGTGACTAATTGCTTTGTTTCTTGTAGGTGCACTAACTGGAGCTATAACTACCCCCTTGATGTCATCAAGACAAGGTTAATGGTTCAACTAAGCTGTGAACTTTCTTTTTTTAATCTTGTTTTTACAAGGTAGCCATCTTTCTCCATACACAAATGCAGAAATGATACCTTCTGTATATGGCTAATCTACAAGCAAATCAATAATAATATTCAGTGTAAATTATCAAGTCATTCATAAGTTCCTATTTTCCTCCTCAAGGGATCTGCAAACTAATATAAGGGAATCGCAGACTGTGTTCAAACAGAGCTATGTAAGGAGAGGTAGGCCTTAGGTGAGTAACAGGGGATCATAATCTTTTTGTCTTTGCAGCTCAAGGATATTTTAGCAAAGCAAGCTGAATTGGGAGTTGAAGTTGCTAGAATACCATCATACTACCTGAAGAAATCTGAAAATCAAGGTCTTCAGAGGGAAGGGAGAACTTTTATAGTTATTTGAATTAAAATATTAATTTCTAGTAAAACTTGGTCTGTAATTTATACATCAAAATCTGGTAGAGTTTTTGTGTCTGTCTGTATTGCAGGTCTTTTTATACAACAAAATTAAGGGTATGCTGCATCGTTTGACTATGATAGTTCATATTTATGGATGTAGTTGTGTACTTCATATGTGATGAATTAGAGGTATGGACTCTGTTTATATCTATCCGTTGATTGTGTCGTATTGAAGCTCATAGTGCTTTCTTGGCTAAGGTAATGTGCATTTGAAGGCGTTTAAAATAATATTTTGTTTCTTGTTTCTTTTCTACACGCCTAATTTAGTACATGCATGGTCAATGTTTTAAATTCTTGAACCTTGAGTCTTTAATTTTTGCTTAGTTAGTTTTCATTTATACGTTGAAGTCTTGCATTCATTTTTGGGGCCCCCGCTTCCCCAATTTTTTTGTAATGTGTAGGGCAATGTGCTACTTTTAAGCAATTTATATAATTAGTGATAATTTTAAGCAATAATTTGATAAATACCTAAAATATATAGATTATTATTTCTTAATTTATAATAATAAAAATAATTTTAAATCTATCTTTTAAAATAATAAAAATGCACCGATATAATGTAGAATAAAGTGAGAAAAGTAAAAAAAAAAACATTTTTTTACGATTTAAAACTGTGAGAAAGCGTAGAGAAGTAAAAGAAAATGCAATTTTCTGGCGGTTTAAAAGCTCCAGAAATGTTGAATCAAGCAAAATTTAGATGAATTTTGTGGCGATCTTAAACCTCCAGAAATTGCTAAACAAGTAACATTAAAATGCATTTTGTGGCGGTTTTAAACCGTCACAAAGTGATTGAATTTTCTGAGATCCAAAAAACCAGCGTTTACAAAATATACGCCACAAACCGTTTTTGGCGACTGTGGATCCGGCGGTTGTTAATGACGCTGGTAATACCATTTGTGGCGGTTTTTAACCGCCAGAAACTGTCAAACTAACCCCCACAAATCACACATTTTTTTGTAGTGACAAGTTCTTATTCATTCATTCTTTCTATAAAGCTTCCTATTCTTAATCGTTGTATCACGTCTTATTTGTAAGACAAAGCAACAATTGTAAAACGTTACCTATATATATAAGTATTTGTTATTAGGTTGAGCTCAAAGAGGCTTGTCTATAAAATAATACTTGGTTGTTTAAGTGTCGAAAGACTTAATGTACAAAGAATACTTAGGTAGTTATTTGAAAAGGTAAGTAAAAAACATCGAAGGTTGAGCCAGAAGTAGCTTGAAAAAAGAATGATTGTATCTTTGTTAAAAATAGTGAAACTCGATATAATTGGATTAAAAATTGAATGTAGTCTCGATGGTTGAGACGAATCGGTATAAAATTTTGTATGTTTAGTTTCTTGACTCTTCGTAAAATATTATATGTAGTTTGTGTTACTAGTTTACTGTTTTAAAAAGTGAGTTTTCAAAAGAAACTATTTAACATTTCCTTCTAGTGTTTGTCTTTTTATCTACATTCTCAAACAATGAAATAATTAGGCTAAAATCAAGTATACATTAATAACATTTTGGTTAACCTTAGACTACATGCATCACTTATCTTTTTAAAATTAAGTTACATTTTTGGTTCAATGTATATGATTTACAATTTTTATCATCCAAATTTTAGCTTTATAGTTTTAGTCCTCTAATTTTTGTAAAATTTGCAATATTGATCCAATTATTAAATCTCTATGCTTTGACTATCAAAACTGTAACATCAATTATGACTTGAAATTAAATATATATGTAATAAATAATATTTAATTGTATTTAGTTTAAATTTTACTTTTTATCCTAATTTAATTTTTTTTCATTTTCTTTTACCATTTTTGCAAAGGTGAAATAAAAGAATAAAAATATAATTTAGCATAAATATTATTAAATATTAATTATTTTGTCATCTACATGTCATTATCAACACTATTTTTATGATTAATATATTAACATTTAATAGTTTAACTAACTTATTTATGCACATCTTACTAAAGAAATAAAAAAGGTGCGAACCTACATATTTATATTTTCCTCTTTATTTATTTTTTTGCAACTCTGCATTTTTATTTGTCACACATTTCTTCTCATTCACCCTACTTCTTTTCCATTTTCATGATACCAAATAAATAATAAAAAAATTATGAATTTTATAAGATTGAAAAATTAATATTGTGAAATTAAAAATTAGACAACTAAAATCGCAAATTAAATATTATATAGATCAATAGTGCAATGTACTCTTACTTTTATTTAAGACCATAAATATTCTTTATTAACTATAAAAGTATTTATTATTCTATTATTTTTTGTAATCATCTTATATTAATGCGAAATATTAACTTTGAATATGAATGGTTCCTGTTGAAATAATTAATCACCTTTAATGGAATCTCTATTTTCGATCACTATTTTTTCAAGTCTAATTTTATTGAGATCAATAACTTGTTGAATATCTTTTACCAATAAAATTTATTAAAATTCAAAAGTAGACTATATTTAGTGAAACTTGCTAGTTCGTGAAGAATTTTCTTCGTCTATATTGGGACCAATTAAGGTCATTTTCCATTATAAGAGTCCACTACGAGTGACGCCGTTTAATTTTGTTTGCAAGACGAAGAGAATGAGACAAAAACGAAAAAGCATCGAGAAAATATCATACCCAACAAAGATCAATAATAACATATGGAGCTTAAAAAGCTCATAATAAAATGAATGAATGATACAAAACCCTAATATACACAACAAAGAATAAATGAATGAAATTCGTCACTGCATCATCATGACTCTAAATTCATCAAAGCAAAGAAGGCCATCTCCATTCAAATCAAAGTGGCCAATCATAGCTCTACATTGGTCCATGGATTTTGATTCCCCTAACCTCTCCAACATCCTTTGCAAGCTTTGGGGAGTTATAAAGCCAAACATTTGAGTATCATGGTACATCTCAAAAGCCTCTGCCAAATCCTTCAACTTCTCTTCTTCCCCAGCAGCTTCCATCAAATTCACAACATCATCCAAACCCAACAACCCATCCCCATCCGAATCCAACTCCTCTATCAACGTTTCAACTTCTTTCAACAATAACTCACCACCCATCATCCCTACCCTCTTCCTAAGCTCATGTGAGGAAATCTTCCCATCCCCATCTTCGTCAAAATACTTGAGGACACGCTCAAACTCTGAGTTCATCATCTTCATAGTATGTCACTACTTGGGAAAATCAACAATTGTTATTGTTGTACAAGATATTAGTTATGGGTACTTGTGTGTAACATGTTGTGAGGGGTCATGTTTTTATATAAGCTGTTGGAGATAGGAAGGAGAAAGGAAAAGGGGCTTAACGCGGCAAAAGAGAGCGTCAGATGCGAATGCGATGCACCAATTCAATGATACTTTGCGTACCCAATCAAATATATATAATCAAAGACGTGTAACTACCACCACTATTTCACATTTAATAACATTGCTTGATTAAATTCTTCAATAAATTATATGAAGAAGAAATATTCATATTGTATATGATCATTATTCAGAAGAAATATTCATATTGTATTGTATATGTTCATTATTTTTTTATTATAAAAATTAGTTATTATTTTTCACAGTAAATACTACCAATTAGGACCGATTCCAAGATTTTTACTTTATTAGTCTCTCTTCAAAAAAAACAATTGTATTATTTATATAATTTTTTCTAATGTTTTATAATTAAAAAGTTACCTTTACATTCTTAAAAACTCATCCTAAAAGACTTATATATATATATATATATAATTATTTTTTTTAGAAATTTTTCTCTAAAATATTGGTATTTTTTATTAAAAATATTATTGTTAATTTAAAAAGACCTTACTGTAAAATTTATTTTAGACCTAGTAATTTATTGAACATAACATTTTAGATCTACCGTGTGACTAATATCATGGTTATCTAATTAAAAAAAAAAAAAAAAAACCGTTTAAGAACCGCTTTACCTGGTATATGTTAGGGAGTTGCTGCGTGCGTGCGTACCTAAATTTTTATTTTAAGAAAATAAAACGGCGGTCATGCAAGTTATATATTTTATTATTTAATAACCGTTTATTCATTTGGAATTGACTAAAAGACGTTATAGGTTGTTCATTCGAAATTTGTGTTTTTATTTTTCATTGGAATAAACTGTCAACTTACTTTTTAAAGTTTCATCTTTTTCCTAAGTAGTCTCTAAAAAGTAAAGTCATCTAAATAATTGCTAAAATATTAAAATTTTATATTATCAAGCCTCTTAAATATTGAAGGATCTTTTAAATTAATCATTCAATATTGAGAAGATATTCTTAGAACATTTATAATGGAGTAATTTTATTTAGATGTTTTTAATGGGACCTATTTGTAACGACCAGGCCGTCACACAGCACAATACCACATAAACCATATAGACAAGAATA